GGGTGTTCGGTTCGTCGCATGACGCGCGATGTGCGGCGTAAAAACGTCGCGCGACCGCTCGCCGCGTAAAAAACGCGCGCTCGCCCGGCGAAAAAGCGCCGAGCCGCTTTAATTGTGCGCGGCAAAAAGCGGCCGAGCGCGAAGCCGCCCGCGACGCGCCGCGCGGCGCAGCGAGTCTCTGCCGCTGCTGCAGCCCTGGAAAAGCTCCCAGAACGAGCGAATTTTTGGGTAATTATAGGTTTTGTAAGGGGATGAACGATAGCCCTGCGGCTATGAAATTGCTGCAGGGGAAGAACTAGTGTAGTACAACTTGTAATGGAGTAATAGGATTAGTAGGTGAAAATTGCAGTTTGATTACGGTAGCCGGTTACAATAGTATTTTTCATGACTTGGGAGCTGCAAAGATTTGAAAACATAAAAATTTTTGCCAGAAATATCCTGATTCCAAATGAGGAAACCTTCAGAAGAGCTGTAAGATCACTTTTGCAGAATTTAGATCTTATTAGTTCTGTTCTTCCCCCCCCCACTCCCTCTATCACTATAGATTTCCTCTAACCATAAGCAAAAACATACCTTTATTTAAGTTTGGTTTTGGACGCTTGCCAGGAAATATGTAGCTAATATTTTGAAGATGTGATTAATGTACAACCACCTCTGCTCCTTCAAAATTATAGTAAATTTTAAACTAAAAGCAAATCCAGAATTTTCGAAGTCTGTGCATTCCAAAATCTCAAGTATTTACTCTTAGTTAAAGTACTTTTTAAAAATTATTAGATGAAAATAAGAACCTGCCACCTAACTAGATGCTCATCTTCAGCTACGATTGTATGAGGCACCAGTTAGGGCCATTCAGTTTGGTTTGTGCTCAAAATGTTCCTAGATGACCCAAAAAGTCCGCTTCAAAAACTCTTGGAATGATATAACATCAAGACCAAAGGAGTTTTTCGGAAAGTTATGTTTGTGGGTAGGCAGGTAAAAAGTTTATGGGTATAATAACAATTTTTAATGTCTACTTCTCGTCATAGCGTACGAGATGTATGAGATCTCTTTTCGACAAACGGGTATAATTGCTAGATGGATTGCGTCAAAAGATAGTAAAACGAGATCTACGCTGCAAAATCTTTTTAAAAATTGTAGAAAGGGGAGAAAAGAAGATAAGTCAAGAAAAGCACTCATTCAAGGATAAGAACGCGTAGCTCTAATGATATATCAAATAACTAGGTCCAGTTTGCCATAACTTTTACTTACGAAAATGCAAGATTTTGCCTGCTAAATAAGTTATAAACCTTTCCAAATGACTTAGGTTGATCCCCTACTATAGGCATCTCCAAAATTTTGCGGTTTACTGATTTGCTGTATTTGTGGATGTTTTGCAGCTACTGCAAATTACAATGTAGCAAGTGCCACAGAAAAATCAATTATATTGAGGATTTAAGCTGTGATGATTCAAAATGAATTTAGGTTTTCAAAAATCCTAAGAAAATACCCCGGAATCTTATGAAATTATCCACCGTGAAAAAAAACAGTGGAAGCAGAAAAATCGGAAACCATATGAAAACAGGGACTCTTGAAATCTCCCCTAGATAACGGCGGCCGCTAAGGTCACTTTGTGGATTTATCTAACAATGAAAATAGTTTGAAGAATACATGGTCTCAATATGAAATCTCTGACTACAGATCCGCCCTCCATCCACTACCACCCCCGACATAGGCGCCATTATGTCCTGGTCCCGGTACGAAATTGCACCATTATGTCCCAGATCTTTTTACTATGCGCACTTTTTACAGTTATTGCCTAAAACCATCACGGTGTCCGAGGGCGGGCAATGATGTTTTCTTCGTGTTGGAAGAATGGGATTTATGTAGGCGCAGTGAAAACTCGTAAAGATATGGTAGAGAAGCTTCTGAGCTCCGAATACCTCGAATTTTAAAAAATCATCATTCGAGAGAAATTCTGTAACAATTATATTTTTGATAATTTCGAGAGATTCTAACAAAAAGCCTTCAAAAAATTATTCTGATTATAATAACGATTATTGACGCTCAAACAGTTTTCTCAGGTAGAATATCCAGCATTTTTCCCTGGCAGAAACTGCGTGGCAGGTTGGAGGCTGCTCCGCCCACTAAATTCGACCAATCACAATCCTGAAATGAGAAAGTTATACTCAAAACGTTGTACTTATCTTAACTAACATCAGATTTCACTTAATTTTAATCCAAAAGCATAAAAAACCTAGAATTGGCAAGGAAAATACATTCCTTGTAGATTTTTATTATTAGAATTTCGCAAGACCCTATCCTTCAGGATTAGAATGTTGTGTTTCAATATTTATTTCCTGCACATGCTCCGCCCACTTTTAACCATTCAGAACGCTGCGGGAAGCGAATTATGGCAACTATATTTACTTCTTAGATTGCAAGGCAGTGAGAAAATCATATGCTAGATGGAGTACTGAGGAAAATTTTTATTTGATTTTTATGGGGGGCGGGGGAAAGGGGGAATTTGGACATTATGACAAATCGGTATCTCACGTCTTGACACAAAAGTGTACCAAAACAAAAAACTTACGAGGTCATGAAATTTGGAATTTTTAAGGTTATTTTGATTGTTTATATAAATTATACGTCCTCTCTTTAACTAATGCAAGCCACCTTCAAAAATTTTGCTATCCATTTTCGGGGTAAGGGGAGGGAGGGGGGGGGGGCATTATCACATATGCTTGATTAGTGGGCTACAACATAAATTTCATTTCTATGACTATCGTTGGCCAAAGCCGTTTCTACACCAGCATTTTTTCCATTCGTAGCCCATCGCACGCAATTTCTTAATGGCCGGTCAGTCAAAGCGGGGTTCACCGGCTGGCACGGGTTGAGCGATGCCCGCGTTCGACGGGTAGTGAACGAGCTGTGAAAAAACGCGCTGCGGCCGCGCCTCTGCCAGCGCGCGTATGCGCGGGCCAGGGTCCGTTACGAGTTTTTTCTGCATTCTCACACACCGCACACACACACACGCATACATCAGACCACTGTCCGTCGGGTGTTCGTCGCGTCCACAACCGAGCACGAGCCATTTTCGTAAGCGTTTTTTGCCACGCTCACCACCTCGCGACGTGCCTGGTGCGGACGTGAGAAAAACGGCGGAGCCGTCGAAAAAAAACGGGGACGCCGTACGTCGGAAAAGCGCCCCTAAAATTATTTCCTTTTCTCATATGTGACCGCGAAATTGACTGCTGCGCGATGCGTGCACGATTGGGGTTTCAGCCGGTACGTCCAGGAAAAAACGCAAGGTTTATACTGCGAATTGTCGACGATGCGTTTTTTATCGCTATGACCGCTTAACTGCTAGTAACTCACGACGGTAGCCGGGTGAGAAAGGATATCGTGAAACGGCGACATCATGGGTAAAGAAGCAGAGATTGTAAAATTCTGGGCAGAAACCAATCCAAAAGGATTGGCTTGAATGAAGAAGTTTGTTAGTTTTTATGTAAAAAAGCTAACTTGTATTTATAAGCTTATCAGCATTACTTGATGAGCTGATACAGTAATTCTCGCCGGTTATCCTAAAAATTTTTACGACGTAAGCTAAACCTACATATAACTTTTAGTTTGATATTTGTCTGAATACTGTTGAATTCTGAACCAATTAGCCTAGTCTCGATTCAATTTGAAACAATTATAAAAATCCTTGGATTTTTCGACTTCGAGAGAAGCAACTCGAAAATCATAATCATTATAGATTTGAAAATTCATTTGGTTGGATGCAGCTTTGAGAGATGAATGATTATTCTAATAGTATCAATTCAAAAATCAACATTGGCATGAAGCTTCAGTAAGCAGATAAGCATTTACTGCATTTTTTCGAAGGTGCAATGGACAACTCTACTATGTTTTATATTTTTAATTATGACTCAGTCAGTGACCTGACCGACCAAGATATCCGAGCTGACTGGAAGTTTGTCGTGTCATTTTATGTGTTCCAGTCGATTTTGATTTCGTTTCCAATTTTCAATGTATATGGTCAGATAAAGCATTATGTGTCCCAACAAATACGTTCCAAATTTAGTTGCGCTTTTCTTGCACATTTTGAACGAACTTTCATAGTTTCGTTATTTCTCATGTCCAGGAATCGACAGAATAGGGAATTACGGTGAGCGATTGGGCAGGAGAATCTTGATTTTGTGATGTTTTTGCTAATCAAAAACTGAGATCATAAAAAGTTTGTTACGCTAGGCTCCCAGTGAAAACGAGAGATATAAGACTTTGCGAAAGTTCCTAATTTTCAGGGGAAGACAAGGAAGTTGTAATAAGACCATCCGGTCTATGTATTATATCAAGGATAATGTATCAAAGAAAATAATCAATTTCGCATATTCTTCTCTCATTTAAGCCTCAGAAATTCAAGCAAGGGCCAAGACCTTCTAATCATTTGTTTCTTGGAAGGTGCTACAAAATGCTTGAAATGCTTCTCAAACTGAGTGAGTAGGTTTTGACACAAACATGTGTGAAGGCTGTGGCTCTTAGTTTCTTACTAACATTCATAATGATCAATCAATCTTTAGAATGCGGCAAGATTCTGAAAAAAAAAACTTATGAAGTCATTTCTTCCCTACATAAAAACGCCTAACTAAGAGGTGTTTTGACATTTTTTATAGCACTTATTCGCAAAAATATCTACGAGATGATGGGGAATGATAGTTTATTTTTGGTAACAAAGTCTTTGCAAGAGTAAACTCTCTGAAAAGTCCTAATTTTCACCAGTATGCTTTGCTTATTTTAAGGAGCAACTGGGATTGTAAATTGTCAATTCGTGACGTGAGAGAGCTGAGAAATATGTCTATGAGAATTTTTAAGCCTCAGTTTTAAAATTTGAGGATTGTAGTTGATTATTCTGCTTGATCCACCTCCGCGGCTGATAAAACAATTTTATTTTGACAAAAATAAAACTATACACTCGTACATGACTGACTTCAACCAACAAATCGTCAAAATAGCTACAATGCTTAGGCTAAAACGCCTATAGGTTCGTCTTCGATGCCGCAGGAGTTGATACCCCGGGCAAAGTAGACGTAGCCATTTTCAACACCCCATGTGTTTCCCCAACTGTTCTTTACAATCCAGTATTTCTCGCCGGTTTCTGTGGTCCCATAGCCAGTGATTAAGAGAGAGTGAAGACCGAGAACCTAGATAACATAGATCAATGTAGGTTGACTAATTTGGAAGGGGAAGAGGGTAAAACTTACCCTATACTTGCAGTCGTAAGCGCTAGGTGTGTATACTCCTCCTTTGTAAGCTTTCATGTCTGGTGGTACCGAAATCCCAATGTTCACTGGTCCGAAACCTACCAACCAGTCAATCATGGACTGCTCATCGGGGTGAAGGAAGTAGGCAGTCTAGGTAGACATATTTGAGTCAAAAAATTTGATGTGAGAAGCTAAAAAATCGATATTAGTACTTTAACCAAAAGATTTCAAAAGTTTGAGTTCAGATTAGCGGGTATTCGACACGCTAGTAAAAATGCATTGTTTGGCATGGAGGTGCCCCTTTATTCAGGGGAACGGTAAGCGTGCGGTAAGAGATCAAAATACAGAATTTATATAAATTTCGTGGAAGAGTGCCATGTTGTAAAACACAATTAGATGCTCACTCGCTACGATCTCGGCCTACAGTAATACGGTAGGTGGGGCCCATGAGATTTGCGTTCTGTAACCACACAATAAGGGAAACCCGCCATGGGCAGATACGAAATCTGTCTCCAGCACAGCATAGCTCCGTTCCCTTTACTCTCATTCCTCCCCCCCCCCCCCACCCTACTCCCAACTAACAAGGTTTTAGCAAACACACTTGATCTTTACCATATACTTACCGTAACCTGCACCTCACAAAAGGAGCCCCTCCTGCGTATTAACCTATCCAATTATAGCTATGTCAAATCAGATTTTTAGTGGATCCTTAGTCCATTATTGTTTTTTGGACAATGCCATTTTTTCTTTTCTTGAAAAATTTGCCCCACCTGTATCTTGGTAGTGTTTCCATTGACATTACAGGAATTTTGTCGATGAGCTACATAAGGCAAGTCAGCTGCGTAAGCGAGACCATTTCGATGGATGTAGCTAAATTATAGTTTATTTGTGGATGAAGGTGGATGCGCGTGCGGATCGCACGCGGACGCGGTGCGCGAGCCAAGGACGGCATCGATTTTTGGCACGCGCAACGATAGCTGCTCAACCGCCTCACTCGGGCACGCTTCGTGCTGCACTGGAGCTCATAAATGGCTATTCTTAGAGCATGAAGTTCCATTGGCGATGAGTGTGCATTTGAACAAACTACTCGTAAGTTGACGCAATTTTCAGTATTTATCACGCATATTCGAATAATTTAGGTTTTAGTTCTACCAACCGAAATGCTTTATCCTCGTCTCCTCCATCACAAGCATTATCGGCCAGATCGCAGTCCAACAATGTTTGCTCCGAAAGATTTCGCATTTCCTTATGAGCGATAGCCCAAGCGGCTTCTACTGTAGCCGTAGCAGCGAAAGCCCAACAGGACCCACAGTTGCCTGGAAATCAGTGAATATATACTAATGCAAAATCTGAGCTTGAAGGGTCAAACCTTGTGCTTTTACGGGAGAAATGACATTTTTGGCTCTCCAGTCGAAGAAATCTGGTGGTGGCTGTGCGCGTTCGAGTCTGGGTGGATCATTTTTGATAAATGTTGCTTCCTCGCGAAGCCGCTTGTAGAACGACAACGGCAGAAGCATCTAAGAACCATTGTTATAGATTACTTGTATCTTATGACACAAAAACGCTACCTTTTTGAATTCTTCTTCGCTCCAGTCGCTCAACTCATTCTCCCCATATTCAGCACCATGGGCTTTTTTTCTAGAGTATAGTTTTGATAAGCAGAGACATGTATTTCGCAAAGTCGGGAGCCTTACAATTTTTTGCAAGCTCAGATTTTGTGATTGCTAATCTTGCACAGTTTCTGGATTGATGCAGAGCACACTTATTGTACTTGTGTTCCAGAAAAACTCTTCAGACTTTCAAAGCAGTCTATCTTTGCTCTCAAAAATCTATCTACACGCTGGCACTGTGGTTATTTCCAAGTTTGATGAGGAAATTTCTAATGAAATCTCTAAACTATGATATCTTCGAAGTATCGTGTTTTTGTTTACCATACTTCACAAAACGCAGATAACGCTTTCCATATAAGAAAGACTGAATAAAATATGTCAAAGGAATAAGTGAGATAACAGTTCGCTATTGGGACAGCTTTTGCAGGTCATTTAGGGGGTGCAAGATGGGGAAGATGTAGGAATTTCCAAAAATTGTGCAGTTTAGTCATTCTAGAAAAACTGAGAATTAATTCACCCTCCCTCTATAGGAGGGACTCTAGAAATGCCTAGTCGAATTTCTTTATATTGATATCATTCCAGCTCTCTATATACAGCGTGTCTCAAAAAAATGTGAACACTGTTTAAACGTTAGTAACTCTCTGATTTCATGTCTTTCACCGAGCTTGAGGTACCAGAGCAAGGTTCAACTTCGACTTACAGCATGGAACAAATCTCCGTCCTTTCTTTCTTACTGTAAATGTAGGAGTACGTTATAAGCCTTCAGCATATACATAGCACCACTATGGAATAGGCCTTTTGATGAAAAATTTCCAAAAATTAGAGAAATTCATGTAGCAAGGTTTCCAGGCGCGCTGATCACGTTACTTTACCAGTTTTCGAGCTTTTTTCAATGTAATCACACTTCTGACGAACATTGGAACAGTCGTCACTTTAAAACTGAAATAACTTAGAAATTCAGCGCAAAATTTCCGGCTTGTTTGGTTATTCCTTCTGAAGCAAAGATCGCTTTACATAATGAAGAGCGGATGATTATTTGCTCCATACTGTAAATCTAATTGTAAGTTGAATCTTGCTGCACAGAATGACAAATCAAGCTCGGCGAAAGACATAAAAGCAAGAGCGTTATTAGCGATGAAAGAGTGGTGTTCACAATTTTTGGGATACCATGTACATGATGTATATTTTCTATTCTACATATTAGATTCCAATCTCAGTCAATTCAATACGTCCTTGACCTATATGCTTTCCGCTAATGAATGGGATTTGAAATTAACCCGAAGACCTTCACCTGTTCAATTCAGCTACATCTCTCATATGTTTCTCGTAATGCTTGAACCTTCGCAGCAATTCCTTTTTATCCTTGTAATCTTTGCCAAATCTGAAAGTGGAGGCACGATTTTCTATTTGAAGTGCTACAGTAAACAGAACTTACTTCTCTAGAAATTGCACGAAGCGTTCAGTGTATTCGAGAGGATTTTCTGGAGACATAGCTTGCTCTGGTTGAGGAAGTCGCTGCAAAGCTAACCGATGTGGCCTGTCTCTGAAAAAAATTGAATTTTTCACAACTGAAAATCTGTGGACCTCTATTCTGAACAAAAAAAACGGGTAAGTCTCGTTAGTGAGAAAAATAGTGCTCACATGATGATAATGTATCCAATGGTGAAAAGTACAGTCAATGTCACTAAAGTGAATTTTATCGTTGCTCGGGTGCTGTAAGCATTATTTTTTTAAATGAGAAATATGCACCCAGCAAGATCTTACGTTTTTTGGCTCCTTTCTTTGGGCTCAATGAGAGCATTCTCAAGCTGTAATGGCACTTGTGTTTCCTTCCCATCATTAAATCTAAATTGCAAAAAAAATTTAAACTCAAAAAAACTAGGAAAAACTTACTTGATGCCGGTCATCTCAGTACGCCGGCTCCTTTCACAAAGAAAAGAGCAACAAAAGGAAGAGCTTATCAGGTTTCATAGCCTATGCATTGTAAGATAAGGCATCGATCCCAAGTTGACGTGATTCCTGATTAGAGATTGTGGCAACGTCATTATATATTTACAATTAGAACATCGAAGGTCAGGTTCTGGGCATAAATGACACCTATATGTCATACTCTACCAAGACCTGAAATTTTTCTTTGAATATGAGTAGTGCAAGTAGAGGGAAACCTCGCCAGCAATGATCGTCAAAGCGCCTGCAAGTATAAACTCTATCATTGCATTTACTAAAGAGTGAACTTGGATTTCGCAGATTTTCATAGTCAAACTAGAGAGAAATGTGAAGTGAACTATCGCTTCATTTTTATCATGATTTCAAGATCCAGAATCTAGTGCAGATTCACAGACCGACAAGTTTCTTACGACTAGATAAGCTGTCGGTACTATTTCTTACGAAGATTTCCTAGCTTTTGTGACATGTTTTTCTTTCGCGATTAATTAAAGTCGCTATTATTCACTTTCGGCTCCGCGACGCAGAGAGCTCCTCGGAATAGCTGCTGGAAGCGCTGGATGCCGCGTTCACCTATCGCACCTTTTGTAGACGCCTCAGGACCACACCGATTGGGAAGATGCCAAGTGGTGAGCATATAAGGCCGCGCAAGAGCAGTCCTTGCCTCTTCGAAGCCGTTTTTCATTGGCGATCGTTCCTTATTATACTTGGCCTCTCAAAAGCTCCCGCGTGAAAGTATTTTTGTGTTAAGCGGTAGAGCATTTGGATGTCTTATATGTTGGACGCGCAGGGGCGCAGAAAGGGTGCCTGAAGTAGTAGATAATCAAGGTTGCAGGAGTGGAGTTGGGGTAGCATCATTCTATATAGGCCAGAGCTTCTAGTGAAGAACCTTGTGGAGAAATGCGGACATCCTTCATGTTGATTGGATCATGAAAGCATCGACAGCACGGGGCGATTCAGCTCGTCCCGTGTTATTGTTTTAGTTAATCCTTTTTAGGTATCAAGTTTAGTAAATCGCTCTGTGATGTGTTTTACGTTTTATTATTGAGTGTATAGATAAATTTATTCAAATCAGACGCGCGTTGTGTATGTTTAGTTGTATTGGATGATCGCGTTTAGTGGACGCGCCGAAGTACAGTCGGTTGTGGAAACGTAGCGTCCTAGATTTCGGGGCTAGTCCTGTATGGCAGTCGAACGAGGCTAAGGGATGCCGAGCCACCGAACCGCAACACGGTTACCACTCATATGTCGCCATCTGGACTGCGCATCATACTTGGCCAACTGTACTCTTACGGTAAACTCAATACTCCTCATACACCTTGCTAACACTAGTGATATGTATCTATGCTAACACTAGTAATGTGCATCTATCTCTCGATTTGAGACTGGGCAAATTTTACTATAGAAAATGACAACCGCGGGAACTGTACCCGATTCGGGCAGCAGCACCCATCTCGCGAGATTGGATGCTGCCTCGCCGAGGTGGGCTCCGTTCATTTTCCAATGGCCCTTCTTGATTTCAGGCTCTCCAAATGACTACGACGAGGAGATCTAGAAAATTAAAATCAGTGTTAGCAACGAATTTTAGAAAAGCAAGCCCCAAGTGCTTCCATGTGTTAAATGCAAAAGATTGCAAACGAGTCATCCTCAATGTTTTACCACTCAAAACTAGTTCCATTCTTAGAAATACTTATTGCTTTGGGTAATGGAAATACAAAAGTAAAACGAGCAGATTAACGGAATATGTGCCAAAGGGTATTTGCTAGACGCCAAAACTTTTGCTAACGTGCAAGCTCGCGCAATCGAGTTTTTATCAAATAAGGAACACAAGTTTATGCATCCGGGTGCGGGCAAACATGTTCGGTCGGGTGGTGACCAGATCATGAACTCTCACCCGATCAGGAGATCGTACATACTCCCTAGGGCCTGTTTGTCGTAATATTGCGTAAACGAGGATCTCAGTCCAAATTCATCTAACACCTTGATGAAAGTGGTGCGCGGCAGCCTGAACTTCATCTCTAATGAGTTCATCTAATTTCTGTTCACATTAATTTGAGCTCAGGAGTTTTGTATGCTGCCCACCCCCTCTTTTGGCAATCTGCGCCCACTCTGTTGCGCTCTAAAACATTTTCTGTGCTTAAATCGCTTCGACCTTGTCTCCGCTTCTATAGGACACCATCCCCTCAGTGGTAAGCTCCGCCAACTTTCCATAATTGCCGAATTTTTACGAAGCCTTGAATCCAGCATTCTCGCTGAGTGGGGCTGGCTTGCCAAAAGAGGTGGAGCTGTCAAATTCATACTTCATGCATAATACATGCATATATACCGCCAGAGAACTGCTTACTACTGATACCTGTCTCTGCTTCTGCTTTCTCTCAATCCTTTTCTTTGGTTCACTTGTGAAAAGGAACCTTGGCTATTACTCGGCTAAGAATGAACCTATGCTTCAACTTTCTACTCTCCTTATCATACACAAACAAGCTGTCTCTTCTCAAGTTGAGATGCATGCCGCGTATGTTTCATTTTATACGATGGCTCAATCAATTGTACTCGTAATGATGATGTTAATAGCTCTTGTACTAGCATACTGGTACTATCTCGAGAAATCTCGCAAGGTAAATCCAACGTCGGAACCTACCACTACTGCAAGAATTTGTCATTTTTTAGGCGCAAGAACCTAAGAAATATGATCTTCCAGTAGACAAAATTGCCCTTCATTCGGTGAAAGAGGTCTGAAGCCGATTTTGAGAGTTGACTCATACCATTGGTACTACTGATCCAAACCCCTTTCAGACAGAGAAAACGGAATGTGTACCCAAAACAGATAAAACTCAAGCAAGCATAAATGAAGTAACAGAAGCTGAGAACATTTCAGAAGGACGAGGAATAGAGATACTGAAAGTGAGTAGGACAAGATTCCTATAGGTTTTCTTTATCCTCGCAAGCCCGCTTATACAGCGTCTAATTTGGCTATGATCATACATCAGAAGTATTACCAGTGTTACCAGTGTTACCCGAGTTACCATGTTATCAATGTTACTCGTGTTACTCTTATTACTAGTGTTACTAGTGTTACTAGTGTTACCGCTTTTATTGCTGTTGAGCAGTGAAATGATCACAAATAGATTTTCATCCTAAGGCAGCGCAGCGGACAGACTTCACGTGATTTGATTGTCGCGACTGAATCGCGACGAGACAACTGTTACAACATCATTCCATGCCGATCAACTTGCATTTCGGTTGTGATACTTTTCCAGCCCGAAATTTTTGAATGTGAAATGAAAATGAATGGAAATGTCGGAGATTGAGTCGCGACGATCAAATCGCTTGAAGTCTGTCCGGGGCCTAAGGCCCCGGGCAGACTTCACGCGATTTGATCGTCGCGACTGAATCGCGAGGAGACAACTGTTACAACATCATTCCATGCAGATCAACTTGCATTCGGTTGTGATACTTTTCCAGACCGAAATTTTTGAATGTGAAATGAAAATGAATGGAAATCTTGGCGATTTGGTCGCGACGATTAAGTCGCGTGAAGTCTGACCGGGGCCTAAGGGGCCGGGCATACTTCACGCGATTTCAGTCGCGACGCGACTTGGCAATTCGCCAGAAGTCTTCAGATCCAACACTAGCAGACCGCACATGCATAGTGTATAACTCTTACGTGGATTGATAAAATGGCCTATCTCCTGTACATTCAGGAACCCCTTACAGTGAGTTACGGACAGTTGGAACATTGCCAAATCGCGTCGCGACTGTAATGGCGTGAAGTATGCCCGGCCCTTAAGACGCCATCTCATTGACTGGTGAGTAAAGAGTAACATAGTAACACTACACTAGTAACACCAGTAACAGGGTAATATGTGGTCAAAGCCCATTCTTGTGTGGTGTCTCCATATTCCCCCATCTGAAGCAAAGTCTACATCTGTTCCAATTTTTAGCGGTTTGGCCTTGGTTCTCTCAATGCCTCATCTCGGGCGTTCCTCTAGGTCTTTTACCGTTGCCTCCTGATGTCAGGGCCAACCCGTGTGTGACTTTTCTCCCTTCTGCGCAAGTGCCCATATCGTAACTTGTTTTCCCTGCATTTTGTGGGCAACTGGAACTAATTCAAGCTCGTATAGTACCTGCAAATGTGGTTTTCAATTATGACATCTAACAAGGGAAGGATACATGGTAACCATGGCCTTTTAATATGAAGCGTATACCATTAAATGCGTTTTGAGGCGCTGTTTCCAAATCTGCTTTCGGTATCTGCTGTGCGCTCTTCCGAAGGAAGTTACGGACATTTCTTGCCACCAAAATGTGCGTTGTTCAGATGGCAGGATTCACCAATATTGTTAAAATGTTCACATACCACTACAAGAAAGCGTCCAAATAATATAAACATTTACGCAAGCTCAGAAAACTGTCTCCGATATGTCAGAGTCTGAAAAGCTTGCGCAGTGACGATTTTGACTGCCTAAATCTTGTCAGATCAATTTGGAAAAAAGTCCATAACTTTGTTCAGAGAGTAGCACAGCAGATAACGAACACAGATTTGGAATCAATGTTTTAGGACGTATTTACTGCTTTACATCTAACTGGAAAAGGCCACGGTCATCAGGTATCCTTTCCTTGTAAGGCATCATAGTATCCTTTTATGATACTGAGCTTGCGCTCTTCGTTCCGCGTACATGGCCCACGTCACAGGTAATGCTGATGGATGGATAACCGTCCGGCCTAGTTGGGACTTAAATTGCACTGGCATTCTTCTGCCACACAGAATCTGTTAGGGCTCTTCGCCTCATTTACAATGCTTTTGGTATGCCTCTTCCCGCTGAGATATGACTAGGTACTTGTATAGCTTTGCCTTCTTTAGTTCTTAACCATCCATACTTATGATGCCTAGAGCTTCATTCTCTATTTCTACAAGTTCTGTCCTTCTGTGACGGTATGTATGAAACTCCCGTGCAAAGCTCAGGCAGAATCAAGTAGGTCTGCAATGCTTGAAAATCGACCCTATACCGTTTGTTACAAACTGTGTGAAAAAGCGCGTGGGATTTACAAGATTCAGAGCCCGCTCTCTCTAGTCCGAGATCTAAATTTCTTGTAAAGACTCAAGAATAAGTCAAATTAAATGTCACAACAGACAAATATCTAGCAACTTAGCAATTATTGAATCTTACTCGATGATTAGTGATTAAATCGTTCAATTTGCTAAGGTTTTTGGCCACCTAATCAAAAAGACGCATTTTCTCACACAATTGATGAGCAAACGAAATCAGGTAGGTGTCCAGACCTACCCGATCCTGCCTGGCCGGCTCTTGCCGATCCAGCGCTCCGCACATCATAGGCCTTGACCGCCTGCGTCTGACTGGATTACGGTAGATACGGGAACACTCATACGAACGGGAGATTGATATATACCGTCTTTGGTATTGTGCTTCAAGTCATACAACACCTGTTTTCTGCCTTGCATCCCGTCTTGCAACTACTTTCTAGCACTTGCCATCAAGACCACATAATCTGCTTAGAGAAGTGTCTAAGAGGTCAACGTTTGAGTGATTACATAACGGTGTTCACTGGGGGGGGGGGGGGGAGGAAGAGAACTGAACCTTGATCATTCCAACTTCAATTTAAAACTCCTGCGATTGCCCTGCAGCTGTTTGTATGTGACTTGAAGCTTGCCATAGGAAATAACAGTCCACTTCTAGGTCGATCCTGCAAAAAGGGTCAAAACATCAGGAATGGATTCGGCTGAATCTATCGAAAATCTAGACCCGCAGGTGATCTTCACCATCACAAATTATATACTCAGCAACGAATATATGTCATAAACATCAGATAGCACAAAAATACGCATTTCTACGAAAACCGGGTGGGAAAACTGTTGACCTAGAAGCATTTGATGAACCAATCACTGAGAAGGAAATGGCCATATATGTGAGCTACGATTATATGAGTCATAATTTAGCATAGAATCTTTGAAAGTTCAGAAAACACCGAATTCAATCAGAGAAAATGTAGAGCGGCCAAAGAAGAAAAAGAAAAAGGATGCTTCCTCAAAGAAAGTCAAAGGTAAATATAGTTTTGACAATGCACAGTTCCCAGTCAGCGGAAACTAAAGTGAAGCTCCTTTTGAATTTTTTGAACAATTTGCTCGAGTACCGTTTTGCTGAAAGCATTTTTATGACAAATTTTTCAGCAGCAAAATCAGATAAAAGTGCAAAAAATCGGAGCAGGAGCGGACGAAGCAGTAAAAAGAGTAGTAGAAGTAATAAAAGCAACAGCAAAAGAAGAGGAAAAGGTCCCTTCAAGAATAAAAGACGTAAATTCGCCAAAAATTCTGGCGATTTGGAGGACTCTACAGGTACTTCTGGCACTTCATTATTCTAATTTTGTGGACTTATATAGAGAAAGGGTATCCTTTAATACAAATGGCTTGGCGGCTGGAAGGCGGGGTTTCGTGGCCTAGTTAAGGCTAGAGAGTGATCGGAGAGCAGAGCGCAGAAGAAACGCAAACAGCGTCGCAGGCGCGAGCGGCCTTAATTAGGTCACAAATCCCCGCCTTCCAACCGCCACTCCAGTTGAATCAAAGGTTATTTGTAATAATTTTTGCGTATATAGAACATGGTGCATTGCCATATTTAATTAAATACTTTAACACAAATAGAAAAAATACCTTTATTATTTTCTCAAAAGCAATGCTTGGTCCACAAGCGAAACTTCATCAGTATTGCGAACCAAGATTTTGAAGAAAAAAATGCTTGTGAATGAATCCTCACAATGGTTGAACAAAAAATACTTCGATGATAGCTTCAGAGATTCAAAAGCTATATAGCTAAGCGAATGATGCTGATGGTCTGATGTAAGCTGAAGCAACAGCGATAAGTGATTTTAATTTGTCTATATACAGTAGGAGCAGTAAACCTCTGTGAAAAGTCGTGATGAAATGAGAGAATGCAGCGGAAAAAGCTATTGTATGGCAACAACATCCACTAATCTAAACTCCAAATGGAATTTCCAGTTTTACTCAACACTCTATCACTAAACAGCTATATATAAGGCGCTTGGTTTAATTACTCGTCGTCCATGGAGGATCTTTCAATGACAGGCACTGGGAAACCGTGTTTCATATCTTTCACTGGCCAATCGTATGTTTTGTTGATAACTTCTTCGTATTCCACCGAGTAGATTTGTTGGCGAATGAACATTTCCTGGAAATCGTATAATAATGCGATATTACGTGAAAACCTGGCAAAGACCTATCCAACTGCGAAAAATTATTTATTTTTTATCTAAACATCCCCAATCAAGTCTGGCTCTCCCACTATACTCCCCCCCCCCTTCCCTCTCTCCGCTGCCCCTCTAAATATTACGCAATGAACTGAAGAGCGCTTAGGCCTAAGGCATACCTCACGCAATTCCAGTCGCTGCGCGATTTGGTACCGGACGACTGTTCATAAGTGGTCGTCAAAGCGCTTTCTTAAGGCAGGACTTGATCGTTTTGCAGCAAGTTACAGAAGCTACGCGTCCATGTGGAAGGACCGTGCACGATAAATTTGGAGATATCTGGCAAAGTGCCAGGTCGCGTGGTAGCGATTTAGCCGAATCGCGCGAGGTATGCCTTAGGCCTTAAGCTTACTACTGTGTCAGACACAACTTTCCATTTCTCTTCTAACAACCAAGCTGATAAAATTTTAGAAATGTTCCCGCTAGGGGACTGAAATACGTTACTAGCTTCTTCGACTGGAAACACGTTCTGTATTACGCCAAAATGAGAATTTTTATTTCTCTATTCTTTACCCCAATATTTTTTAACGCTTCGAAACATCGTGCTCCTCCTTATCCTCCTCAATTCTGTGTCTGCTTTGTTTCGATCTCAAAAGATCTACCAATAAGAATTGGGATAAGTTCTTACCTTATTCTCAGGTTCCGGATGTAGTGTGGCTAGGTCATGCTTATACAGGTAGTCACCAACCTATAAAAAGCATTCTTGTAAAACCGTTAAAAAAGATTCGGAAAGCTCACATCGATAGCTATTAGGACAGAAAGTTCCCGAATATCCTTCAAACGTGGGTACAGTCGTGCATAAGTTTGCAATGACTTTTCCGTCACAAAATTAGAGCAGCGCTGAAAATGCAATTTCGAATTGCTTAATGCCTAAATCAAAGGTCTCATTTACCCGTGCAGCAAGTAGGAATGCTTTGTCGGGAATGTGCTTTGCTTTGAATAGAATAGCAGCAAGAGCTACTCCAGGAAAAATGTAGGAATTATTTCCTTGGCCTGGTTTGAATATCCTACCGTCGATCTCGAAGTTCTCAAACGGTGATCCCGAAGCGAATAGGACGGATCCCTGCAATCAAAAATTTCAAAAAGGGTAGTCGTTTTGTATGTTGTAAGTACGTTTGTTATTCTATAGGCATCTTCAGCTGTACATTCCGCTTTACTTGTGGGATTTGAGAGTGCGAAAATGATCGGTCGCGCGTTGATTTTGGCCATTTCGCTAATAACCTCTTCCGAGAACGAGCCAGCAACGGTTGAGGCACCTAAAGCTTCCAGTATATACTTTTTTTCATAGTCTGTCATACATACCAATAATTCCATCTGGTTGGACAGTTTTTACAACTTCCAACAGATTTTTCGTGTCTTTCATGTCCTGAAAAAAGCAAATCAGCATCATACCGCTATCCTCGATGGGCTGTTATTTATGTGGTAACTGATTAGAGGGTCTAAAATAAGCCACTGTTCAAACTGCAGCTTATTTGTTCCATTTATGGCCGAAAAATCTGACTATAAACTCTCGCCCAGTACCGTGCTCAATTATACCGATCCATCGAAAAGCTCACTGTCTGGGCGAGAGCCTAGAAACGACGAACTTCTAAGGCGAAGAATGGTATGAGCTGCCCTTTGGGCTAAGGTCTTCCAGTCAGTAAAAAGTCCCACATAGATTTGCTAAAATTGCCTTTGCTTGTATTTCTACCTACCTTTGCAAATTTTTGATGTCGATCTGACAGATTTGGTGATCTAGTTTTCGTTATCAATCCACCAATATCCATGAGGTAAATTCTACCACATGCCTCTTCTTCCCTAAGCCCCTGCTCAACCATTTCCTTGACGACCAATTCAGCGACACCAGTGGCTGCCTAAGATACATATTCACAGTTTCCGTCACGGCAGGACCTTACAACTCTATCTGATACTTACCGCACCAGCACCAAAGAATACAAATTTATGCTCTTTCAATGGTTTATCGGTAAGTCGAGTAGCTGCTAGAAGTCCAGCGAGAACGACAGCGGCGGTACCTAATCAGATAGTTTAGAATTTCTAACATATAGCGTGATCGCCTTACCTTGTATATCGTCATTGAACATGCAGTAATCGTTTTTGTATCTGTCCAGGAGCCGATAAGCATTTTGGTTTGCAAAGTCCTCAAACTGAATGAGGGTGTCTTGACCGAATCTGAAACTTTCAAACATAAAATGTACAGTAATAAAAGTGGTTCTTACATGGGGCTATGATATATGAATGATATGGATATGGATAGGCCTCTTTAAAATCGATTAGGGTTGAAAGGCAATAATCAACATTAGGAGGAATGATTTCAGGCTAACCTTGAAGTCATTATGCAAATCTGAGTATCTTGATATCTTGACTTTTTGCATGACCTACATGACCCGCATGACCCACCATGACCTTACTCACTGACTGTACGGTACTAGGTAAGTATTTGGAGCTGAATCTCTCGAGCGTGAATGAATCATATGGGCTGCCGTTTGTTTTATTGGCTAAGCTTTCTCAGAAGTCTTTCACATAAGAAACTGCGCACTTGGATTTGCGTGAACTTTGCGTCTTTCATCTATGCCTCAAAAGGTGGCCAATAAAAAGTTAAAAATTATCCTTCTCTAAGAGCTTAATTGAATTATTTGAATCTTGGGTTGTCCGTACGATTACGAAGTTTGTAATCTTTGCAATACATTCATACTTTAACAATCTCACCGTTTGGTACAAGCTTTCATGAAATTATCCATCAGTGTATCATATTCTTCGCCTCTAACCCGTTTTCGTCGCAGTCCGGTATAGAACGGATCATTCAATAAACCCTGAAACTTTCATTTCGACACAGAATTACGACATTTTTGAATTCATCTGTAGCCCTACTTGATTATCAGTTCCAACATCAATAATAACAGGAAGGCACCATTCCGGCTGAATTCCAGCTAAGGCAACGTATAAGGCTAATTTTCCAACAGGGATACCAATTCCATAAGTGCCGAGATCACCAAGTCCAAGAATTCGTTCTCCATCAGTAACGACAATTGCCTAGAGAGCAAATATGCTCTAACAATTATGTGAGCCAAAAGCCCGTCCTTTACCTTAGGTTTGACTATGGTAGGGCTAAACGGACGTACTTACCCGAACATTCTGTGTGGGCCAATTGCTTAGAATCTGATAGATTTTGCTAATACTATTGTCATTGATAGTGATGTAGAGACCTCTGGAAAATTTGCATAAGGCCAAATTTGATGTGAATATCAGAGAAACCACCACTCACTTAGGATTACGGTAGATGAATCCAAATTTTTGGCAAGCTAATCCTACCGTAGGAGTGTAAACAATGGGCATAAGCTCTTTGACATTGTCACAGAGGACTCGATAGAAGAGTTTTTCATTTCGATCGTGTAACGCATCTAGTTGGATATATCTGCAAGAAAGTATAAACAGTGAATGTTAAAAAAATTTATTTTTAAAAACCTTTTCGTATTTTATGTAGAAAGCACATAATTCACGAAAAAGTTGAAAAGTGCTCAAGACAAAATTTTTGGTTGATATTCAATTTTTTTTACTGACGAGCATTTTTTTCGATACGTACTCACTTAGCAAGATCATCCGGTTGTTTACGTAATTTTGCCATGACTCGATAAGCTTGTTGTTCTTCTGTCATGAAAGCTGGCGGAAGAAGTCCATGGATGCCCAGGTATTGACGTTCGTAGAGCGAGAAAGCCATGCCCTAAATACGAAGGAAAAGTTTTTCTTGTTATTATTGAACTAAAAGTTGCAAAAAAACGAGGCAAAATATTTTTTTTTGATACGTACAGTATGCCCCGGAAAGCGATTCACAGATATTGAACGATATATTTCAACTTTGTTTATGGAAAGTCGCATCAATTTGCAACTTATGCCCCCCCCCTCTTCTCCAGCTAACCTTATTCAATCGCTCCGTCTTCAATAGATCTACACCTCTCTTAGACGGAGTGATTCGTTCCGGTCTATACAACTTGTGCAGTGCCATCTGTTTGGGATCACTGAGATCAACATCGCTACTGTCGCTTTCAAAATAACTAGGAGCTGTCGTTGATATCACTCGCACACCCGTTTTCACTCTGAAAGGAATACTTGGAATTAGTGCATTTTTTATACTTCTCTGCGGCCACTCACACGTTTTGCTGCAACGATCGAATCATCATGGTTACAGCTCCTGTATTGCCTGAAAATTTGAAGCTTTGAAAGTGATAATAGGAGAGTAGCGGACGAAGATAAGTAAACCACGGTCATGAAAGGAAGAAAAAACAGCGCAGATAAACTCAAACTACATTACAGTGTCGGAAAAAATAATAAAAAATAAAAATGATAAAAGTAAGTAATAAGTAAGTAGTAAATGAGATAGAAATTAATGGTGTTGATGGTGAATTAGCTCCACATCTGCTACACTAAACGAATTCGATTCTCATATATTCATAAATTCTTTCAACGATGAGATCTGTCAGATATCCATAGATGGTGGACTTTTAGAGTTAGATCTGAACATTTTCATCAAAAAGATCGGTGACCGTTCGGTCTGTTTGTCATTGACAGACATTCTTGCCAATTACAGCTATAGTGAAGTAAACCGAGCTCGGAATATTCGAAAATTACTTCTTTCCGTTGCTAATTTCCCATTGCCAATATTTCATATTGAGCTTGGAGAAAAGTTTTTGTGAGCGTTATGATGTCGCGAACTAGCGCGTATCCGGTGCCATTTGCATTTATGTAAGCACCATTGAGTGCTGATCCTAAGTATTGCATGCCCAATAAAATTGGTAAACTTGGTTATAGACTGTATATAAACGGTGAGAATTACCGCTTAGTGTTAGGGAACCCATACAGTTAAAAGCTTGCCGCCGCTTCCGCGGGTCTCGCGCATTCGCATCTTCAGCATTTTTACCTCTATTACCCTTTACTATTGCACAATTCAGCAAAGATGCTTTCACAGCTCGTCACTTCAAGAGTTTCTTGGGTGCTAGCATATTTCACTCACAAATCTACCTATCAAAGTTGTCTAAAATTCCTACATGTGCTATACGCATAAGATTAGATTGAGTTCGGCAAACAGATGTAATCAAGATGATTTTTTCGAAGAAGATGTGACAACAACAGCAGGCCACAGCTGCAAATTTTCTAGTACTTGAATGCACGAGAATTTTTCTGAAATATAAAAGAACTTCAGAATGAATAGTCGACCAATGCAAGGAGGGAAAAAAGTGGGAGGGGAAATTGATCACTTTCTTGACTGATATCCTCCTTACCCTTGAACTTAGCAAGCTTTGTTCTACCACTTTTTCTTGGTGATTTATTTCATGGGTTGGCAGAAATGCTTAGTCAATTTGAAAAATTGCATTTCGGGGTCGTGGTCTCGCAAAATTTTAAAGAGCATCCCAAAAAACTTCAAAGCAGCCCATGCATGGTTGTATGCGTAGGTCGTTCAAAGCCCACATTTTCGCTTACATACATGAATAGTTCTGTAGTGGCCACACGTACAAACTGAATAGTCTAACTAAACTTGAAGATTGCAAATTTGAAGAGAGCTAATCATGATCTACTATACGCCATACTCGAGAAAAGAATAAGAAAAAATATGACAAAAAAGAAGATGAAAATATTTGGGAGGAAGCTGAACATGATGGTAACTCTATCCAAGAGTGCAGCTACTCCAAGGGAAAGGAATAAGTGCACTTCGGGTATGGGTTACACTGTGTTTTGTCGTTCTTGGTGAAAGAGGGGACCTTGACTTTGAAAGCGAACTAGCAGAGGAAGATTTAGCCAAACTGGTAGAGGTTTACCTGCGAAGGTTCCACAACAGTGATATACATATCTGAAGATGATGTTCGGGAGTTGAGCATAATTGTGCTTCGATTACGTGTATGGAAATATATATAGGAAACTAAGGGATTACTCTGACGTGCGGGAACAGTAAGCGATCTCGCTCGACGGAAGGAGAGTGAGGTCGGGAGGGAGGGCGAGGATAGATAAGACCACTTTAACAATAAACATGAAACGAACCCAGATAAGCCAGTAACTTTTAGAAAAAAATAATGAAAATTATCTTTTATTACTAACCACTTGGGGTTAACCTAATTGAAACAAATCGAAAATTATTGTGATGTTTGAAACTAAACTTTTGAACTATAAATCTCAATATCATATGTAGAAAGATGAGTTTTTTTTAAGCTTTCGCCATCCTTTTTCACTGAAAAGCCCGGGGATGGCATAGAAACCACAATACTATGTCTAGGGATAGGAACGAAGCGAAGTTCTCAAGTTAATATTATAATTATAAACATTATCACCTACTAATGTTATTATGTCTGGCCAAGTTCCGGAGCCTCAATCGCACCTCCATGCGTGTCCTTACTCAAGTATAAGGGGTCGCTATAATCGTGGCTTGTTGAATTCACCGCAGTAGGCGGTGGGATTGAGGTTCGGTCCCTAACCCTAAGCCAAGCAAGCTCTAGTTCCGGTGTAGGATGCAAGAGTCTAGGTGCCACTGTTTCTGCGACCATGTCGCTTTACTTTCTCCTACATCTAAGTTAATGGAGAGATCTAAAAAAAACAAGAAAGTTACTTATTTAATTTCCAACACTAAGGTGCTGTTTCTCGCTGTAAATTCTTTTGACCAAAAATCCAACCACGAACTTGAGCAGTACTTACTTTCAATCAAATGTACTGTGAACTATAGCTAAATATGCTTTTATTGTCCGTTGTTCAACTTCACAGTCACTTCGAAAAACTTATAAGCGGAAAACTTTCCGTGAGAAGATGCATCTTTCCAAATCCGAACTATACTTAAAAAGGAAGCGGCAAAGCTCTCGAGGAATCTAGCACTACGCTATTTAGCATTGGGTTGCACTTCAATGGTTTTTTAAGCTACTAGCTCGAGGGTTACATTTGGTAAATTCTGAGGTGAAGAGGGGAGATAAGGAAAGGGTTAAAGAATAATCGTCATGTGGACATTTGAGATATTCAAAAAAAACTCGAAGGTATTTTCACTACCGTCATTGTAACAAACGTAGAAGGATTGAAAAGCTTCTGAGATACCGTGCTTTTCCTGCAGATTCTTTAGTCTGAATAGGAGCAAACGACAAAGATCCAATGATTATAGAAGAGTATTCATTCAGTGGAAGATATTTAGTTTTCCAAAACTAAGAAATAACGATTTGTTTCTAGAACGTCTAGAAGTGAACTAGAGTTACAAACAACAGATGTTACAGTGATTGATGTCGTAATATAAATCATCAGAAACATGCAATGAAATACATAAATGAATGTTTAACTGAGGAAACGCCAGCGTTGACTATTATGACGTAAAACTCTATTTTATGATGATTCAATAAACGAGGGCGGAATTTCCTGGGAAAAAACTGTCTATTCGCATGACTGTCGGTTTAGGAAGTGAATAGATAATTATTCTGAACACAGTGGAAACAGCAATCGATCACGAAATGACAGTCTAAGTCAACTAAAACCCGAAAAACACAAGAAATGTGAAAATAAGCAGGATTTTGCGATAACAGTGAATATGATCGCTCTGCGGCTGACATTTGCTCCACTCTGGACATCTGGCAATTTCAATCAGCAGCCCAAGGGCCCCATGCCTGCCCAGTGCATTCTGGCATAGTAATAATGAAACCTAAGAACTCAGCACATCAGCTGACTGCAATCGTTCGATGATTTATTGTTTACCCATGGCCCTCTGCCCTCTTTCTCTATCCCGAATTTTTTTTCTAAAAATCACGGTTTTGACGATTTATCGAATCTTTCCTTGATTTCCTCAAGCAGTTTCCCACGTTAAGCACTTAAGCTGCTATTTAAGGTCGTAATTCTATGTTTGAGTTTTCTTTCATAATATTTTGATAGCTGATAGTACGATATTCGAAGTAATGCTTTTTTAGCCTTGAAAATTATTTTTTCTTCAATCTTAAAGAGATCAATAGTTTTCTTTTCTTTCAATTTCAACGAATATATTTCACTTTCTCTCGAATTTTCCAACAATATGTCAGTTGCATATTTACTTTCTTTGATCCCGACTGATCACGGAATGCACCTCGACTTTCTTTAGTTTGATCGCCATTGATCCCGAAAGATTTTTTATTTATTTCAGCATCAGCACCACCGTCGGGGAATTCGACAAAGAAATAAAAGAAGCTTTGTTTATGTCAATAACTACATGTTGATTTCCGTTTTGCAACCGCAAATTATGACTTAATAAAAAGGTTGATTGAAAATTGCGATTGTGGCGTTCTGCTCTTTCGCCAGAAGTCGAAAGTTAACTATTTCTATTTTTCCCCATTTACTCCTAATTCAAATCAAGGCCATGAAAAATAATGACAGTAAAGGAACTGGTGTTATTGTGACCTTCGACAAACCAGTTCATTCGCAATGGTTGAAGAGTACTTCCTCATAGTTTTTTTGAATTGGGAAAAATGAGTTGTCCGTAGTCGATTATGCTTGGAGAACTGTGTAAAAATAGTGACCAATCATTTCTGAGTTTGTAAATAAGTTTTTTGGAAAAAGAATGCCAAAATTTGAGTTCTCCTGTGCGTTTAATAAATTAGGAAGACAAACATGAATCGGCAGTTTTTAGATTTGAAAATTCTGACGCCGTAAGACCACTCTTCGATTTAACCGGCTTGGCGGCTGAAAGGCGGGGCTTCGTGTCTAATTAAAGGCAGCGGCTCAGCAGAATAGACCTACCTCAGAATTTGACATAGATGGATAGGAGGCCCTCCAACTGAATCAAAAGAGCAGCTCCGGGCCGAAAATGTGAATTCTGCAAGCCAGGGGGGGGGGGGGGCGAAAAAGCTCCGCTCCCCTTCCTCCTTTCGCTTCCCTAACACCTTGTGCGGACAAGTATGTTCTCCGCTAGAAAACGCGCCGTCACTCGTAGCTTCGTAGGGCAGAATTGTTCTAGCGCTCTCTACCTCCTTACTCTGCGTCTCTGACGGCAGAGAAAAATGGCTCACTCGTCCGCGCCCGTCTCAAGGGGGGTTTCAAAAGACGGGGTTTTCCCCATTTTAGCGCTAAGGGAAGTTCATGTCGTAATTCAGGAAGCCGGAATAGCCCCAAATGTGCCAAGACCCCGAAGCTGAAAATCTGCCGAGCCGCTGCCTTTAAGGCTAGGTAATGATCAGGGAGCACGCGCGCGGGAGAGATGCGGACTGCGTGACGGACGCGAGCGGCCTTAATCAGGTCATAAAGCTCCACTTTCCAGCCGCCAAGCTAGTTGAATCAAAGGGTGCGGCACCCATGTTATGATTAGAAGTAGAGAATTTGTTAGTTCAGAGCAAATGAAGAAAGTCGGTGCTGTCTGTTGGCGGCAAAATGGAGTACCTTGACAGAACTTGACTTGACTTTGCTTACATAAAGTCACTTTCAAAGCAAATAGTTTTTTCTTTTACTTTGTTGCAGCGGCCGAGTGTCTCCGGTTCCAGTCTGATCGGAAACTTTCGCTTTGTATCTGAGTTTACACAAGGGAGTAACTGTTGCGAACAAGAAGTATGCAATTTTTTGGAGCAAGGATCACATTTTACCTCAATCGTAAAACAGCATGAGCAACTAAGTATGTTTGAGTCACCATAGGAATTTTGAAAGCTCAAGTTTTGCTAAGAGATTGGGAGCAGAGAGGGAAACGCACATACTCTGAATTCTTATTTCAGTGCTAGGGGAGGAGCTCTGTAACATAATCGAAACCGATGCAGTAGCGGTAGAGCAGAAAAACTGTCTTTTGATACAATTCATTACCAAAATGATGGTGTAGACTATATTGTCAACTAGACTTCGATTTTTAGGTATCTTGAGAATTAGCGGTAGAAAAAAAATGAGTTCAAAGTACATGCTATGCTAAAACAAATTTTCAAAAAAATTTAATTCAGGGCTGATTGTTTAAAGCACTACAAAGCAAAAATTTGTTGAGAGAAACAATATTAGCCTACACTGAATCTTTTATGATGGTAGGGGATGAGACGCATTACGTTACCCAGACCGATTTCGAGTACCTTTTTCAAGGAAAACACTTAAGAGGCATAAGAGTCCCAAGCAAACATGAGTAATTCGTGAATCACGTGAAGGTATCGTTCATTCGTTGACCGTACGGACTGCCGACCGCGTGGCGACTGCGACGCGTGCCTTCTAAACTTGCGAAAAAGTGACAAGTTGGACCGTGGCTTAAGATGAGAAGAATTCTTTGTTTCTTTTCTACATTATAAAGATGAGAAGAATCCTCTATTTTCTTTCTATTCATCTTTTCTACGAAAACATCATGCACGCGCAGCGGTCGCCGCGCGGTCAGCAGTCGTTACGGTCAACGAATAAACGATAGCTGCGGTACGCTCTCAAAAATATGTGTACGAATGAAGTGCGAATGTTGGAAAGTGCAAAAATTAGTGTAATGCTTTGGTGCAGGAAAGATAATAGCCGATGATAAAGCATACGTCTAGACCAGTAATCCAAACTATCATCGTATTTCGATGAAGGGCGATGATATGATCGATGATACTTTTCTGAAAACTACTGATTTCACGTTCTGAGGTAGAGATAGAGAGACAATGACAGCTTTTATGTATGTACTCTGATCAAAAATCTCCCATTTCGGCTCCATCTTCGAAAGTAGCTCAAAATTTGTTGTAATCGATGCTTTGATCAGCTTGTGCACTCCGCCATGCGAGCAGCACCTGGTAGCAGTTTGACCGGAAGTGCTGTATACCGCGTAATCAGTTGCGATTACTGTATTCGTGGCTGGACCGCTCCATTTGGGAAGCGGCTAAGTGGAGGTATATGAGGCTGCGCTGATAGCGGCATTTGTCTCTTTAATTCTCGTCTGTCGATTTGATATCATATAATACTTGGCCTAGTTCTCAGCAGCCGTGATTAAAAGGTTTTTGTATTGAGCAGTTAAGGCATTGTGATGTTTCTTGGATTGGACGGACAACGGTGCTAGAAAGTCCTTGATATAGACGGTCAACCTTGCGGAGGTGAAGCTGGGATTGCACCGTTCCATACGAACTTGGCTTTTTGGCCCGAACCTGGAGTAACCCAGAACGTTATCTCTTGATTGAGCCTTAAGAACAGCAGCGATACTGCTAATTCCGTGTTGTCGTATTACTTTATTGGTGGTTGTAGTTCGTTATTTTAGTATAGTCTTTCCTTTTAGTCCTATGGTTAGTTCTATGTAGTCAAGGTAAACTCATTTGATCTAATCGCACGTTTTCTTACAAGGGTTGTTTGTTAGAAACCACATCGCGTGGACGCGCCTGTTAAAGGAAGTGTCCAGGCGAGTTTGGGCCCATGGGTTTCTTGCTTGGAAACTGATGAGGGGGTCCCGGCCAAGCCATGCCCAAGCGGCAGCGCAAATTATTCATTCATGGCTGAAAAATCCGTTCACAAACCCTTCGCGCGCGCTGTTACCCTAATTCGTGAGTGACTTAGGATAGGTGTGGCGGATCGGCAGGATCAACACCTACCGCAAGTGCTCGCCGTGCCTACACTCTGGATCCCTTTTGTCCCG